GTCTCAAAAAAAAAAAAAAAAAAGTATTTTAAAATTTTGCCAAAATTTTTTTTTTCCCCAAACAGAGTCCTGCTCTGTCACCAAGGCTGGAGACTGGAGCGCAGTGGCGTGATCTTGGCTTACTACAACCTCTGCCTCCTGGGTTCAAGAGATTATCTTGCCTCAGCCTCCTGAGTAGCTGGGATTACAGGCACACAACACCATGCCAGCTAACTTTTTTGTATCTTTAGTAGAGATGGGGGTTTCACCACGTTGGCCAGGCTGGTCTTGAACTCTTGACTTCAGTCGATCCACCCACCTCAGCCTCCCAAAATGCTGGGATTACAGGCAAGAGCCACCTCGCCCAGCCTGCCTTAATTTTTAATACGTCAAATATTCATGGACATAATGCCCATTGGCAGAAGCTTTTTGGGGAGCTCAATTTTTGGAGTATAAAAGAGTCTCAAAATAAAAAAGGAGGATCATCTGGGGCCAGGAAGTTAAGGCTGTAGTGAGCTATGATCGTGCCACTCCATTCCAACCTGGGCAAGAACAGCAAAAAAGACTCCTCCCTACCCCACCCCCGCCAATAACACATGCCAGGTATGGTGGCATGTGCCAGTCAGGAGGCTGAGGCAGAAGGATCACTTGAACCCAGGAATTCAAGGCTGCAGTGAGCTATGTTTGCATCACTGCCCTTCAGGCTGGGTGATGAAACAAGACCCTGTCTCAAAAAATTTTTTTAGAAAGTGGCCAGGCACAGTGGCTCATGCTTGTAATCCCAGCACTTTAGGAGGCCAAGACAGGAGGGCAGCTTGAGCCCAGGAGTTTGAGACCAGCCTGGGCAAAATGGTAAAACCCTGTCTCTAGAGGGAAAAAAAAAAAAATAGCTGGGTGTGGTAGCATACGCCTGTAGTGTCAGCTGCTCAGGAGGTCGAGGTGGAGGATCGCTCGAGCTTGGGAGGCAGAGGTTGTACTAAGCCAAGATCATTGTGTCACTGGATTCTAGCCTGGGTGACAGAGTGAGACTCTGTCTCAATAAATAAAATTAAATTAAAATTAAACAATAAAAACAAATAAAAATCAGAAAAGAGTCCTTGGGTTTGGTTTCTTGAATATATTCCTGCTCCTCTAGATTTGAAGATTTTTAGATAAAAAAGACAAGTTATCTGTTCCCCACAGAACCAATACAGAGTTTGGGACAGGAATGGGATATTTAAAATAGACATTCCTATTAAAAAGATGTGGGTGGGGAGAAATGGAGTTCCACAGCAGCCCCTGACGCGCAGCAATTCTTAAATACAGGCAGGAACATGTCTGTTTCTTAAATACCAGTGCAGCTCCACAGGAGTGATTCTTATGAAGTTCTATACTGATCATAGCTGCTTTCCCATAAAAAGCAGACATTTTCAACTGCGCAGCTTTGCAGGCGTATTTCACCTGTTTTCTATCTGCAGTTTGGGGGCTCAAAGGTGTCTTTTCATTTTGTACAACTTCTTTCCATTTTGTTTGGACAACGTTGGCCTTGTTTTTGCTAGTAGAATAAAAAACCTTTTCCTATTTATCTCCTTTAATTTTACAGGGTTTGTGTAATTAGACAAAAGCCATGGCTAAAATCTCTTAGGCCCTTCTCTATCTCGGGCCCCTGTCTGTGAGAATGCAGGGGAACAATGTCCAGAAGAGATGCTGAGATGTTCTTTTTGTTTGTTTGTTTGAGACGGAGTTTCGCTCTTGTTACCCAGGCTGGAGTGCAATGGCGCGATCTCGGCTCAGCGCAACCTCCGCCTCCTGGGTTCAGGCAATTCTCCTGCCTCAGCCTCCCGAGTAGCTGGGATTACAGGCACGCGCCACCATGCCCAGCTAATTTTTTGTATTTTTAGTAGAGAGGGGTTTCACCATGTTGACTAGGATGGTCTCGATCTCCTGCCCTCGTGATCCACCTGCCTTGGCCTCCCAAAGTGCTGGGATTACAGGCTTGAGCCACCACGCCCGGCCTCTGGGATATTCTTTTAGTTAATGAAAAGGCACCTTCAAATTCTAGATATACTGTCTATTCATAAGACTATAAAACATCAAACTAAAGGTCTCTGAGGTTCTAAGAAACGGTTCTGTGATAAAAAGTTTTTATAATAAAATCTCTCAATGAACTACTATAGTCCCAGAAAAAAAAAAAAAAAAAAAGCCGGTGTGGTGGCACATGCCTGCAGTCCTAGCCACTCGGGAGGCTGAGGTGGGAAGATCACTTGAGCCCAAAGTTAGAAGCTGACATGAGTTATGATGTTATCAGTGCACTCCAGACTAGGCAACAGAGAACCTGTTTCAAAAATAAAAAGAAAAAAGTCAAAATGCATAAATGCTAAAAAATAAAAAATTAAAAGGCTGGGCACAGTGGATCACACCTGTAATCTCAGCACTTTGGGAGGCTGAGGCAGGCGAATCACAAGGCCAGAAGTTCGAGAGCAGCCTAACCAATATGGTGAAACCCTGTCTCTACTAAAAATACAAATAGCCAGGCATGGTAACACATGCCTGTAATCTCAGCTACTAAGGAGACTGAGGCAGGAGAATCGTTTGAAGCCGGGAGGCAGAGAGGTTGTAGTGAGCTGAGATTGTGCCACTGCACTCCAGCCTGGGTGACGGAGCAAGACTCCATCTCAAAAAATAAAATAAAATATCTCAGTGAACAAGAAGTGGAAGGGAACTTCCTCAATTTAATAAAGCCATCTTCAAAAGAACCAACAGCTAACATCATACTTAATGGTAGAATATTGAACGCTTTCTGCCTAAGGTTGGGAATAAGATAAGGATGTATGTTCTCACCAATCTTATTCAACACTACTGGAGGTCCTAGCCAGTACATTAAGAAAATATGAAGAAATAAAAGGCACATATATCAGAAAGTAAAATTGCCTTAATACAGAGGACAGATTTATTTATGTAGAATATTCCAAAAAGTTACAGAAACTAATACATAACTATAGAAAGTTTGCAGGATACAAGGACAAATATAAATTATATACAAATAAAAATACACACTAGCATTAAAAAATTGAAACTTTAAAACTATTATTTATAATAGGATCAATGAAATGGTGCCATATAGAAAACCACAAAACACTATTGAGAGAAATAAAGACTTAAATTAGCCGGGCGCGGTGGCTCAAGCCTGTAATCCCAGCACTTTGGGAGGCCGAGGCGGGTGGATCACAAGGTCGAGAGTTCGAGACCATCCTGGTCGACATGGTGAAACCCCGTCTCTACTAAAAATACAAAAAATCAGCTGGGCATGGTGACGTGTGCCTGTAATCCCAGCTACTCAGGAGGCTGAGGCAGGGGAATTGCCTAAACCCAGGAGGCGGAGGTTGCGGTGAGCCGAGATCGCGCCATTGCACTCCAGCCTGGGTAACAAGAGCGAAACTCCGTCTCAAAAAAAAAAAAAAAAAAAAAAGACTTAAATTAACGGGGAGGTTGTCTTAGTCTGTTTGGGCTGCTAGAACAAAATACCATAGACTAGATGGCTTATAAACAACAGAAATGCATTGCTCACAGTTCTGGAGAATGGGAAGTCCAAGACTGAGGTGCTGGCAGATTTGATGTCTAATGAGGTCCCACTTCTTGGTTCACAGATGGTGACTTCTTGCTGTGTCCTCCTCGAAAGGCAGGACAGATTAGCAAGCTCTCTGGAATCTCTTCTATAAAGATACTAATTTAATTCATTGGTGCTCTGCCCTCATGAGCCTAATTCTCTCTCAAAGGCCTTACCTGCCAATATCATTGCATTGGGGATTAGGATTTCAACATACAAATTTTGGTGGTACACAAACATTCAGACTATGGTAGAAATATATTGTGTCTATGGTTCAGAACAGCCAGTATTATTAAAATGCCAATTCTCTACAAGTTCATCTTTAGGTTAAACTGAATCTCAGCCAAAAAAACATCCAGGCCAAGGTGGGTGGATCACCTGAGGTCGGGAGTTCAAGACCAGCCTGACCAACATGGTGAAACCCCGTCTTAAAAAAAAAAAAAAAAAAAAAATCCCAGCAGGCTTTTTATGGAAACCAGTTAAGTTTACTCTAAAACTTATGTAAAAAAAAAAAAAAGAACGTGGAGCATCCCAAATGATTCTGAAAGTTAAGGTCAATGTTGGAACTCTCACACCACTTGCTTTCAAGATTTACTAGACAGTTACTGTAATCAAGAAAGTATAGTATTAGCAGGCCGAGTGAGATGGCTCATGCTTGTAATCCCAGCACTTTGGGAGGCTGAGGCGGGTGGATCACTTGAGACCAGGAGTTCAAGACCAACCTGGCCAACGTGGTGAAACTCTGTCTCTACTACAAACACAAAACACCTGGGCATGGTGGCACGCGCCTGGAGTCTCAGCTATTCAGGAGGCTGAAGCACAATAGTCTCAGGTTCTCGGGAGTCTGAGGTACAAGAATCACTTGAACCTGGGAGATGGATGTTGCCGTGAGCCGAGACAGTGCCACTGCACTACCATCTGGGCGACAGAGTGAGACCGTTTAAAAAAAAAAGGTATAGAATTAGCAAAAGGACAGACATATAGATTAGTTGAACTGAATAGATCCCAGAAACAGATTTAAACATGTGGTCAATATAATTTCAAAAAGGTGCAAATAAGGCCGAGTGCAGTGGCTCATGCCTATAATCCCAGGACTTCTGGAGGCTGAGGTGGGCAGATTGCCTGAGGTTGTTAGGAGCTTGAGACCAGCCTGGCTAACATGATGAAATCCCGTCTCTAGTAAAAATACAAAAAAATTAGCTGGGTGTGATGGTGCATGCTGGTAGTCCCAGCTATTTGGGAGGCTGAGTGAGGCAGGAGAATCATTTCAACCTGGGAGGTGTAGGTTGCAGTGAGCTAAGACGAAATTGTGCCACTGCACTCCAGCCTGGGTAACACAGGGAGGCTGTGTCTCAAAAATTAAAAAAAGGAAGAAAAAGAAAAAAAGTGCAAATAAAAAAGGTGCAAATAATCCAACAGAGAAAGGACTGTTTTCTTTTTTTTTTTTTTTCTTAAGGCAAAACAGAAATCTCTAAATAGACACTTTATTAGATCCACAGGCGATAAAATCCCAGAGCCACTGTTAGGCACGTAAAGATAGACCCTGCTAAATACTTAATATTATCAAGCTTGTGTGACTCAAGCATGGTTTTGAGGCCAGCAACCTCAGTTTCTATCTTCCTATCTGTCTGGGTGAGGGCCCGATCTTGCTGGGCATGCAACGCCACTATTTCTGTTCTCAATTCCAGCAGCTTCTTTTCGTTCAATGAATACAATTCTTTTACTCTGCTCTTTTCTAGGTTGAAGTCTAATTTGGTATCTGTTCGGACTTTGATCACTTCATCCATTACTTGTTGTTTTAACTGATGTAGTTCGAGTTTTATTTTCTCATTTTCGGCTCTCAGGGCTGAAAATTCACTCTTCTCCAAAATAATCATATCCTTTTTCACATTCGCAATCTGCGACATTATTTGCTGAAGAGTGATCTCCTGCTGCATTTTGGTGACCATATCTTTGTAGACGATGTCCATGTTGGCCTCCAGGATCTTGACCAATGCAGACACAATGATTTCTGCTTGTTGAGTAGCAAACCCATTGTCTTCCAGTAAGCATACTAAGGCATGAGTGTCAAAGTAGAGCTTCCTACTCCCAGAAGAGGTGAAATCTCTCCTTTTGCGCTCCAGCTGCAGACATCCAGCAGACAGGCTTAGTTCTCTCCTGCTGGAAGCGAGTGCGAGCGCCGTGCCATTGCACGGGGGAAGGGCGCCGACGGCAGCAGCTACACGCGGGGCGAGGCCCGGCGGGCACCTCCACACGCCGCTGCGCCCGGCCAGGGGTGCCGCGTGTCCGAGGCGTGAGCGCTCCCAGTCCCCGAGCGGCCGGCGCGGGGTGGCGGCGGCCCAGCGCGGAGAGGGCACGAGCAAGAGCGAGAAAGGACTGTTTTCAACCAATTGTCCAGAAAGAAAATTCAAAACATTTGCATCCCTTCTACCTTCTCCAAAAGAAACCTTGACCTGTGCACTGCAAAAAGGATCACAGAAGGGCTCACATGTCCCAATTTCAAAAATTACTGTAAAGCTATAGTAATCAGGACAGTGTGGTTATGAACAGGTCAGACATGTACATGCAAAGGAATGAAGCTGGATACATTGTACCCAGCATGCACAAACATTAGTTCAAAATGGATCACAGAACTAAATGTAAGAGTTGGAGGCCGAGGCGGGCGGATCACAAGGTCAAGAGATCGAGACCATCCTGGTCAACATGGTGAAACCCCGTCTCTACTAAAATACAAAAAAAAAAAACTATCTGGGCATGGTGGCGCATGCCTGTAATCCCAACTACTCAGGAGGCTGAGGCAGGAGAATTGCCTGAACCCAGGGGCCGGAGGTTGCGGTGAAGCCGAGATCGCACCATTGCACTCCAGCCTGGGTAACAAGAGCGAAACTCTGTCTCAAAAACAAACAAACAAACAAAAAAAACTATAAATATCCTCAAAGAAAATATGAAAGACTTCAAGACCTTGGGTTAGGGAATGGTTTCTTAGATTTGACAACAAAGGCATAAGAAAATTAAAAAATTTAAAACTTTTGCACCCCAAAAGATGCCATGAAGATAAAAAGACATCAGAGAATAAATGCTTGGGAAAAAAACAAACAAACAAAAAAGATAAAAAGACAACACAAAATACTTGTAAGCCATGTATTTGATATGGTATTTATAGCTAGAATTTATAGAGAGCTCTTGAAACTCAGTAATAAAAAGTACTCAATTTAAAAATGGCAAATGATCTCAACAGACATTTTCCCAAAGAAGATAGACACAGTTGGGCATGGTGGCTCACACCTGTAATTCCAGCACTTTGGAAGGCCGAGGTGAGTGGATCACCTGAGGTCAGGAGTTCAAGACCAGCCTGGCCAACATGGCAAAACCCCAGCTCTACTAAAACAAAATAGAAAATTAGTCGGGCCTGGTGGCACATGCCTGTAATCCCAGCTACTTGGGAGGCTGAGGCAGGAGAATCACTTGAACCCAGGAGGTGGAGGCTGCAGTGAGCCAAGATTGCACCACTGCGCTCCAGCCTTGGCGACAGAGCGAGACTGACTCAAAAAAACAAACAAAAAAGATAGACAGTCAACAAACTGATGAAAAGATCATCAATATGTTTAGTTTTCAGGTGAGCTAAGCCCAGAAATAAAAAATGTATATATAAATATATAAAATAATAAATCTTTAGCCACCAGGTAAATAAAAAAACAATGAATACTATTTCCCATCCAACAGGTATATAAAAAAAAAAAGATAGAAGACAGTCACTAAGCGGTGAAAGATTCAATGCTTTACTCCCAAGACCAGAAACAAGACAAGAATATCTGGTCTCTCAACTTCTATTTAACAATACACTGCAGGCCGGGCTCGGTGGCTCAAGCCTGTAATCCCAGCACTTTGGGAGGCTGAGGCGGGTGGATCACGAGGTCAAGAGATCAAGACCATCCTGGTCAACATGGTGAAACCCCGTCTCTACTAAAAATACAAAAAAATTAGCTGGGCATGGTGGCGTGTGCCTGTAATCCCAGCTACTCAGGAGGCTGAGGCAGGAGAATTGCCTGAACCCAGGAGGCGGAGGTTGCGGTGAGCCGAGATCGTGCCATTGCACTCCAGCCTGGGTAACAAGAGCGAAACTCCGTCTCAAAAAAAAAAAAAAAACAAAAAAACAAAAAAAAAACAATACACTGCAGGTTCTAGTTAATGCAATAAGAAAAGAAAAAGACAAAACATATACAGATTGGAAAGGAAGAAGTAAAAAATTTTATGTACAGACAACAGAACTGTCCCAGTAGAAAATCTGAGAGAATCTACTAAAAAGCTGCCAGAGGCTGGGTGTGGTGGCTCACACCTGTAATCCCACCACTTTGGGAGGCTGAGGTGGGTGGATTGCTTGAGCCCAGGAGCTCCAGATCAGCCTGGGCAACATGACCAAACCCTGGTTCTACTAAAAACATGAAAAATTTAGCTGGGCATGGTGGTGCACACATGTATTCCCAGTTACTCTGGAGGTTGAGGCATAAGAATCGCTTGAACCTGAGAGTTCGCAGTGAGCCAAGGTCATGCCACTGCACTCCAGACTGAGCAACAGAGGGAAGCTCAGTCTCAAAAAAAAGAGCAGGCGTGGGTACATGCTTGGCACCTGGCAGAGACTGAGGCTGGCAAGATCTCAGTAGTGTAGCCAGGGTACCTGAGGTGGGCTGGGTCTGGGTCTGAAGGGCTCCCGCCAAATGGAGTTCACAGCCCCAAACAGTGCTGGTGGCCCCTAAGCTGAGTGGCTGAGGCTGGGAGGCTTTGCTTGAAATAAGGCAAAAGGGAATGAAAGACGTAGGTAATCTCCAAAGTATAAAAGAAGGCTGGGTTTGTGAAATAGGACCTGACAATCAACCTCTTGGTGATAATCAACAAATTGTGAATATCTTGTTAACAGCCCCTTTTTTTTTTTGAGACGGAGTTTCACTCTTGTTACCCAGGCTGGAGTGCAATAGCACGGTCGGCTAACCGCAACCTCCGCCTCCTGGGTTCAGGCAATTCTCCTGCCTCAGCCTCCTGAGTAGATGGGATTACAGGCACACACCACCACGCCCAGCTAATTTTTTGTATTTTTAGTAGAGACGGGGTTTCACCATGTTGACCAGGTTGGTCTTGATCTCTTGATCTCTTGACCTCGTGATCCACCCACCTCGGCCTCCCAAAGTACTGAGATTACAGGCGTGAGCCACCGTGCCCGGCCAATAGCCTTTTTTATGAAGCTCAGAAGGTTGGTTCCAAATGCCTGTCTCACACTGAACAGAAGAAACAGGTAGACATAAACATAAAAATTATGGGAAAATGGATTCACTGTCAATGATGATTTCAGAAGTTATTCAAATAGGGCAAGTCAGCAATTTTTGAACTCCATCAAAAAGGGGGAATTACCCTAGAGTTACAGGGAATTTTTGATAAAGAAGAGGTGGATGTTAAAGTTTAAGACAAGAAAACGAAATATGCATGTCTATGAAGTCTGTCCTCCAGCTCTTTTCAGGACAGGGTCACCAATCAGGAAGGGTAAGCCTTATCGAAGACTTCATTGAAAAACACCAAGTATGGGCCAGGCATGGTGGCTCACGCCTGTAATCTCAGCACTTTCGGAGGCCGAGGTGGGCAGATCATCTGAGGTCAGGAGTTCCAGACCAGCCTGGCCAACATGGTGAAACTCTGTCTTAAAATAAATAAATAAATAATAAAAAATTAAAAACACACCAAGGATCTCAAAGAAGTCCTCCCCTTTCCCTGGCAACAGCTTTTACTGTCCTCAGATCACTAGATGAGACATTCACACTGGAAGCAGCAGATTTAAAGAATGCTGTTATCAGCCGGGCGTGGTGGCTCAAGCCTGTAATCCCAGCACTTTGGGAGGCCGAGGCGGGTGGATCACCAGGTCAAGAGATCGAGACCATCCTGGTCAACGTGGTGAAACCCCGTCTCTACTAAAAATACAAAAAATTAGCTGGGCATGGTGGCGCGTGCCTGTAGTCCCAGCTACTCAGGAGGCTGAGGCAGGAGAATTGCTTGAACCCAGGAGGCGGAGGTTGCGGTGAGCCGAGATCGTGCCATTGCACTCCAGCCTGGGTAACAAGAGCGACACTCTGTCTCAAAAAAAAAAAAAAAAGAATGCTGTTATCATTCAGAGACTCCAAAAGCCTGCTGCACCTTTTCAAAAACTTTTACCGCATTGATTTTTGATGGACTAAGCAGAAAATTTGCAGAAAAATGATGGTTGTAAGTGAATGTGCAAAACAAAATTGGGGACTGGAGAAGTTAGATTCACTAGACTTCTGGTTCAAGTGCTACAGAACTCTCTCTTGACGAGATGTTTAGTAAGCACAAGTTAGAAAATCAACATACGACTGGAAACTCTATTCAGTGCACTTTTTCCAAAAGGCTACCCAGAAAAATATACTTATTTCAGATACTAATTATCATTAGCTTCTGTATTAAATAGCTGTACTTAGAATCTTAATGTTATCAATTAGCTAATATGTTCACAATATTATTCTTTCAATCATTCCCAAACAGCAGAGATTTATTTAAATGTTAGCTGTCTCAGAGTTCTTAAATGGCAAATACATTGAAAAATTATATATGGAAGGTTAAAAGCATCAATGTATTTATTTTACAACTTAGATGCAAAGTTGGAGAGACCTGTTTTTACCACAGCTATGCCTAAACCTCAAAGTGTCCTTGGTTATCACTCTGTAATGGCAACATATAATCGAACATTAATTTGGCAGCTGGGTGCCCATAGTTCACACTTGTGGATCCCAGCACTAGGAGGCTGAGGTGGGTGGATCACCAGAGGTCAGGAATTTGAGAACAGCCTGGTCAATATGGTAAAACTCCGCTTCTACTAAAAATGAAAAAATTAGCTGGGCATGGAGGCAGGTACCTGTATTTCTGGCTACTTGGGAGACTGAGACAGGAGAATCACTTGAAACTGGGAGGTGGAGGCTGCAGTGAGCTGAGATTGTGCCATTGCACTCCAGCACTGGCAAAAAGGGCAAAACTGTGTCTCAAAAAACAAACAATGAAAAATTTAATCTGGCAACAATATCAAAGATATATTTTCATTTAAGACTAAAATTGTGGCCAGGTGTGGTGGCTCATGCTTATAATCCCAACACATTGGGATGCCAAGATAAGAGGATGGCTTGAGGCCAGGATTTCAGGAGTTCAAGACTGGTCAACACAGCAAGACCCCCATCTCTTTTTAATTTTAAAAATACAAAAAAAGAGGTGGGGCGTGGTGGCTCACGTCTGTAATCCCTGCTCCTTGGGAGGCCGAGGCAGGCAGATCACTGGGTCAGAAGTTTGAGACCAGCCTGACCAACAGGCTGAAGCTGGGCATGGTGCCACATGCCTGTAATCCCAGCTACTTGGGAGGCTGAGGCAGGAGAATGGCTTGAACCCAGGAGGTGGAGGTTTTGGTGAGCCGAGATCACGCCACTGCACTCCAGCCTGGGTGACAGAGCGAGACGACTTCTCAAAAAAAGAATAAAGAATAAAATTGTATAGCTTAGTATAATGTTAATAAAAGCTTCCAGAAAAAAAAAGCTTCCAGAATAGGTTTAACAAGAAGGTTGCAGCATACAAGATTAACATATGTAGCCGGGCGTGGTGGCTCAAGCCTGTAATCCCAGCACTTTGGGAGGCTGAGGCAGGTGGATCACGAGGTCAGGAGATCGAGACCATCCTGGTCAACATGGTGAAACTCCGTCTCTACTAAAAATACAAAACATTAGCTGGGCATGGTGGCACATGCCTGTAATCCCAGCTATGCAGGAGGCTGAGGCAGGAGAATTGCCTGAACCCAGGAGGTGGAGGTTGTGGTGAGCCGAGATCGCGCCATTGCACTCCAGCCTGGGTAACAAGAGCGAAACTCAATCTCAAAAAAAAAAAAAAAAAGATTAACATATGTACAAAAACTGTATTCTTTTATACTAGTAGTGAACTAGCAGAGAAATGGAAATTTTTAAAATACCAATTCCAATAATTTCAGAGAAAAAAATGCCTAGAAAGACCCAAACACTGAAAAATACAAAATACAAACACAAATGATGCTGTCCTTTAAACAAATTAGATACAAAGAAAAAAAACTCCAAAACGTTGATCCAATCTTTGGGCCACATAAAGATTTTAACTCAGAGTGCATCATGTATACAACATATTAATACAATATATTAAATATATTGTAATATAGATACCCCTCAACTTATAACAGGGCTATGTCCTGATAAACCCACTGTAAGCTGAAACTATAGTTGACAATTTGTAACCCCATTGTAAACTGAGAAATGTATTGAATGCATAATGCATTTGCATCATTCTGAATTAAAAACAATACTAAGTCAAACTCTCATAAGCTGGGAACTGTATTTATGTTACCTGTTAAAATGTTTTGTTATTACATATTGAAATGTTACGTTTTGTTACTTAAAGATTAACAGATCAAATACACTATCAGGTTTAATATTAAATACATTAAAAATTTTAAACTCTCAAAATTCAGTAAAAATCGCAAAACCACATGATCATGCCACTGTACTACAGCCTGGGAGACAGAGAAAAACCCTGTCTCTATTTGAGGGGAAAAAAATTCAGGCTGGGCATGGTGGCTCACGCCTGTAATACCAGCACTTTGGGAGGCTGAGGCAGGTGGATCACCTGAGATCAGCTAGAGACCAGTCTGGCCAAGATGGTGAAACCCTGTCTCTAGTAAAAATACAAAAATTAGCTGGGCATGATGGTGGATACCTACAATCCCAGCTACTTAGGAGATGGAGGCAGAATTGCTAGAACCCAGGGGGCAGAGGTTGCAGTGAGCCGAGATCGCACCATTGTGCTCCAGCCTGGAGGACAAGAGCAAGACTTCTTCTCTAAAAAATAAATAAATAAATAAAAACGAAAGCCAATACAAACAGGCTAAAGATTTGAAGACACTTCCCCAAAGGCTTAAAGAAGGCCAGTAAGCATGTGAAACCACATACAACATCATTAGTCACTGGAGAAATACAAATTAAAACCATGAGATACTACTGCACACCTATTAAAATAGTCAAAATAAAAAAGACTGACCATACCAATAATTGGCAAGGACACAGAGGAACTGCAACTCTCAGACACTGCTCATGGGAATGTCAAATGGCACAAACACTTGAGAAAGTTAGCAGTCTCTTAAAAAGCTAAACGTACACCAGCATATGATGTGATCATTCCACTTAATTACTTGAATAGAAGCGTATGTTAAAAAAATAATCTGTATATGGATGTTCAAGGCAGTTTTAACTGCAACAGCCAAAAGGCAGAAATAACACATGAATGGATAAATAATTTGTGGTATGCCTTACACTGGAATATTCAGCAGTGAAATGGACTCTACAACATAAATGAATCTAAAAACTACCCTGAATAAAAGGTGCCAGACTGTATGATTCCATTTATATAAAAGCTCTACATAATATAAAGTGGTCAATTCTAAGACAGAGCAAATCAGTGGATCAGTACAGTGATAGGCAGGAAAGGGTGAGAAGAAACTATAAAAGAGCATGAGGAAGCCACCTGGTTTAACAGGCATGTTCATTATCTTGGTGGTGTGTATGTACACACATGTGTATGTGTCCAAACTTAAGCTGTATGCTTAAAACATGTGCAGCTTATTACATGGTAATTATACCTCAAAAAACGTACTCAAAGAACCTGTCTCAATAATTTCTCGGCAAAAGTGAAAAAGGATCATTTAACGCACACTTCACCAAAGACTCATAAGCATGTGTGATGCACAACATCAGTCTTAAACGACACACAAAAGGCAAACTTATTTAAATAATTTATTTGGTTTTCTTTGCTGGTGCCAATTTTTTTTTTTTTTTTTTTTTTTTTTTGAGACAGGATCTCATCCTGTTGCCCAGGCTGGGGTATAGGGTTCACTGCAACCTCTGCCTCCTTGACCAGGCTCCAGCAATCTTCCCACCTCAGCCTCCTAAATAGCTGAGACTATAGGCACAAAATACCACACCTGATTACTTTTATTTATTCTTTGTAGAGAGGAGGTTTCACTATATTGCCCAGGCTGGTCTTGAACTCCTGGGCTCAAGTGATCCTTCTGTTTTGGCCCCCCAAATTGCTGGAATTAAGGTGTGAGACGGCATGCCTGGCCAGTACCAATATTCTTGCTCTCAAATAGTGAAAACTTAAGGCCGGGCGCGGTGGCTCAAGCCTGTAATCCCAGCACTTTGGGAGGCCGAGGCGGGTGTATCACGAGGTCAAGAGATCGAGACCATCCTGGTCACATGGTGAAACCCCGTCTCTACTAAAAATACAAAAAATTAGCTGGGCATGGTGGCGTGTGCCTGTAATCCCAGCTACTCAGGAGGCTGAGGCAGGAGAACTGCCTGAACCCAGGAAGCAGAGGTTGCGGTGAGCCGAGATCACGCCATCGCACTCCAGCCTGGGTAACAAGAGCGAAACTCTGTCTCAAAAAAAAAAAAAAAAAAAAAAAAAAAAAGTGAAAACTTGTACCCAAGATGTTTCTAAATTCCTTATTCTTATAACAAACGTTTTCAACAAAAAACCCTTTTAGGATATTTAAAATTTTTTTGTTCTGTTTTTGAGACGGAGTCTCACCGCATCGCCCAGGCTGTAGTGCAGTGGCATGATCTCAGCTCATTGCAACCTCCACCTCCCACGTTCAAGCAACTCTCCTGCCCCAGCCTCTTGAGTCGCTGGGATTATAGGCATATACCACGATGTCTGGCTAATTTTTGTATTTTTAGTAGAGATGGGGTTTCACCCTGTTGGCTAGGTTAGTCTCAAACTCCTGACCTCAAATGATCCACCAGCTTCAGCCTCTTAAAATGCTGGGGTAACAGGCATGAGCCACCACCCCCAGCCTAAAATATTTTTTAAAGTCTAGTCAAGTGTAGTAGTGACAAATGGGGGAAAGAGTGGAGCCCCTAAATAATTAAGAGTGCCATCTTTAATTGTGAACAATCAAGATCACTATCTTCAGATCAGCTAGATATTTTTATTAAAAATATATACATCTTAAGCCGGGCGCGGTGGCTCAAGCCTGTAATCCCAGCACTTTGGGAGGCCGAGGTGGGTGGATCATGAGGTCAAGAGATCAAGACCATCCTGGTCAACATGGTGAAATCCCGTCTCTACTAAAAATACAAAAAATTAGCTGGACATGGTGGCACGTGCCTGTAATCCCAGCTACTCAGGAGGCTGAGGCAGGAGAATTGCCTGAACCCAGGAGGCGGAGGTTGCGGTGAGCCGAGATCACGCCATTGCACTCCAACTTGGGTAACAAGAGCGAAACTCCGCCTCAAAAAAACAAAAACAAAAAAACCATATACATCTTTAAAACATGGATATTTACAAAAGCAGGTTCTGATATAGCATTCCTCTAGTGTGACTTTTTGCATGTAAATTAATACAGCCTTTCTCACCTTCCAGAGAGTCAGAGTTCCTCTTCAGTGTGGATCATGTTTACTAATGGCCAAGAACAATCAAGGGCTTTCCGACATCTCTTTCATTCATGAGACTTCTCAAAGTGTGCTTTGACATGTTCACAAAGTGGAAGCTAAAAACAAAGAAAAATCTCCACACATCTTACATTCATAAGATTTTTTCACACTTGTGAGATCACAGTTGAATATTAAGGTATAAGGAGAGCGAAAGGTTCAACACATTCCTTACATTCAGAGGATGTGCACTTATATCCAGTGTGCTCACAAGCTCAGCAAGGTCTGAGAAAAATAATGAAAGCTTTTCCACCTTCCTCACATTCATAGCATTTCTCTCCAGCACGAGTTCAGACTCAGTAAGATGTGAGCAATGACTGATGGTTTCCTATATTCTGTTTCTTTCCTAGGATGCACAGACACATGAATAGTAAGTAAGGCCTATGGAAGGAGCCAAGACTTTCCCACATTCCTTACATTCATACAGCTTCTCTTCTTTTGGAATTGTTGACATCTGTGACACCAAGGAAGGCTTCCCACATTCCTTATGATTGTGTACATTGCCACTGTGAATGAGTACATGTTCAGTAAGTGTGAGGTAGTAGTGGCTTTACCACATTCTAAGTATAAGCTCAAGTGTGAATTCTTACACATTCAGTGAGGCATGAGGAATTACTAAAGGTTTACCCACATTCTTTATATGGTTTCTCCCTACTGACTTCTTAGATGTTGAATAAGGTATGTGTACCGAGTAAAGCCTTTCCCACATTCCTGACATTCAAAGGGCCGTTCAACAGTGTGAGTTCTCATGTGTACTGTAAGGCCTGATGAGACAGTGAAGGCTTGCTCACATTTTTGACATTTATAGGGCCTCTCCCCTGTGTGTGTTTTATGTTGACTAAGGTGCGAGGAGTATCTAAAGGCTTTCCCACATTTTTCATATTCAAAAGGCCTTTCTGCACTCTGACTTCTTAAATGATGAATAAGAAATGAGGATCGAATAAAAGCTTTCCCACACTGTTGACAGTCATAGGGCTTTACACCAGGGTGAGTCTGCATGTGACTTTTAAAGAAAGAGGAATTAATAAAGACTTTTCCACATTCCTTACACTGATAAGGCTTTTCACCAGTGTGGGTTCTCATATGTACAGTAAGATAGATGTGAAGAGTTAGCAAAAGCTTTCCCACATTCCTTACATTCATAAGGCTTTTCTCCAGTGTGAGTTCGCCCGTGTTTTATAAGACCTGAAGAATCAGTAAAGGCTTTCCCACATTTGTTACACTCATACGGTTTTTCTCCAGTGTGAACTCTTATGTGAATGTCGAGTTTTGAGAAACAAGTAAACTCTCTGCCACATTCATTACAAACATACTGTTTACCCCTAGTGCTAAGTCTTTTATGTTTAGCAAGACCTGGGGAATAAGCAAAGGCTTTGCCCAATTTCTTACATTCTATAGGTAACACTCTACTATGAATTCTTAAATATTGAGTAAGATATGAAGACTGAGTGAAGGGTTTCCTACATGCTTTACATTCATGGAGTTTTTCTCCATCATGAGTTTGTATGTGTACAAAAAGGTCTGTAGAATGAGAAAAGGTTTTGACATACTCCTTACAAGTATCTGGTCTCTCTCCACCATAAATTCTTACACATTCTCTAAGGTGTGACAAGGAACGTAACTTTCTCACAGTCGCTGCATTTATATGGTTTCTCTTGAGTGTGAGTTTTCCCACAGACAAGAAGTAGATGTTGGCTGAAGACTGTTTCACATTGATTACAGTTGGGAAGTTCCTCTCCAATATCAGTCTTCTTGTGTAAAGTAAAAGTAGACGGTTTTGTGAAGGCTTTTTCATACTGATTATGCTCACAGGTTTTTTTTTCTAAAGTAAGTTCTCCTGTGAGTCTTAAGGCATGAGCGTTCACTCAAGGTTTTTTCACATTGGTTAAAGTCAAACAGTTCCTCTCCAAAGTGGTTTCTCTCCTGTTGATGAAAATTAATGATTCACACAAGTTTTCCAAATTTATTTCATTCAGAGATTCTCCCTTTTACTCTGAATTCTGTTATGCTCAGAAAATAAGTATAATTGAAATGCTTTGTTCGGAGCCAGGCGCGGTGGCTCAAGCCTGTAATCCCAGCACTTTGGGAGGCTGAGGCGGGTGGATCACGAGGTCGAGAGATCAAGACCATCCTGGTCAACATGGTGAAACCCCATCTCTACTAAAAATACTAAAAATTAGTTGGGCATGGTGGCGCGTGCCTGTAATCCCAGCTACTCAGGAGGCTGAGGCAGGAGAATTGCCTGAACCCAGGGGGCGGAGGTTGCAGTGAGCCAAGATTGCACCATTGCACTCCAGCCTGGGTAACAAGAGCTGGGTAACAAGAAACTCTGTCTCAAAAGAAAAAAAAAAGAAATGCAAGAGTAGTGTGTACTGTACTTTCAAACACCGTCTTAAAACAGTTTTGTTGTTGCTTTTTGTTTTGTTTTTAAAGAAAGGGAACCAGAAATTGAGAAATTTGGATGCAATAAGAGTCTAGCAACAGTAAGGTACTAAAGTCAAGCTGGTAGGTTATTCACTAAGAAATGGTTCTCCAAACATTGAGACTTTATAGTGAAAAAAAAAGAGGTACAGCAGAGAAACAAAGTAGAAAGGAAATGGATACAGAGCTAAATGCAAATCATAAATGTAAAGAAGAAATGAGACAGATCTTACCATCAGGTCACAAGAAAGTTTCCAAGATAGATGAAAAATGAAAGAGAAAGAGAAGTTAAGGTACCTAACGAATCTCAGCAACCAAATGGCCTTGATATTCTCTCCAAAAAAGTACACTTTCAAAACCTTCCTACTTAACATTTATAAACAGACTGTACCTCTCATAGATGAGGGCTATATCGCACAAATAATCACATCTGTTTTTTCTCTCATCTTGGAGAATTTTTCTCCACTGTCTTTAACGCTTCTTGCTTCACGTGAAAAGTAAAACCGTATTTGCACAGCTCTCAGAGAAAGATGAATGATGTAAGAATGTGCAAGAGATAACAAATACTTCCATGATTAAAGGGCCCATATTTCACTGTTTGGGCATTCTGAAGGCTCTCGGGTATAACTTAAATAACAAAATGTTCACGACAAAAACTTTCAAATGAACCTAAACTGCAAACACTCTTTTCTTTTTCACTCTGCACCGTACGGACTAGCAATCCTTCCCATGAAACACAGGCTCAAGCTCGTATACATATTCAAGAAGCTCTAAGTCTTTTATCCATGGAGAAAACAAAGTCAGAACAATGAATAGATCTTTGATTTCATCAGAAAAATCACTAGGCAGTAAGGTCTACAAGATGGAAACAATGTTTGGCCTGTTTACCATTTCGGGGTCATTAACATTCAGAGTCTAGAATATAGTTACTTAAGACATATTTGTTCCAGAAAAAAAAAAAACGAAATAAAAAAATGGTACCAGCCTTACCTACTGCAACTAGATTCTCGTAGTTCTCCAGCATCACATCTCTGTATAAAGTTTCTCTGAATCTGATCCAGTAAAGTCCACTCCTCCGGGGTGAAGTCCACAGCCACATCCTCAAAGGTCACTGAGTCCTAAACCATCACACACATGTTGGAACCAGGCAAGTACATTCTCCCCCATGTTCACTGGATAATGAGGGACCTTGCCTTGGCATGCCTTGACAAGATTCTGTGGTATTCTATCACTTGATGGTCCTCACTTTTTTTTTTTTTTTTTTTTTTTAGACGCAGTCTTGCTCTGTCACCCAGGCTGTAGTGTAGTGGCATGATCTTGGCTCATGGCATCCTCCACCGCCTGGGTTCAAGTGAGTCCTCTGCCTCAGTCTCCTGAGTAGCTGAGACTACAGGCATGTGCCACTACGCCTAGCAAATTTGTGTGTATATTTCAGTAGAGACAGGGTTTCACCATGTTAGCCAGGATGGTCTCCAACTGACCTCGTGATCTGCCCACCTCGGCCTCCCAAAGTGCTGGGATTGCAGGCGTGAGCCAATGGTCCTCATTTTGTTCTCTGTAAATATTCACTGGTGATCTCATCTAGTCATATGGCTCGAAGAGCACCATTTTCACCTAACTGAATATATCTCAGCCTAACTAGATTCTGAGTTATTTTTCTCTATTGACAGGTTTTAGCACAATCCTGAATACACTATAGACACTCCAATAAATGCTTCAGTGACAGCACAAATTTTGAGAAGCACATGTTTATTCTCTCCCTATCACAGCAAAATGAAAGCACACAGTCAATGTGGATGAGAGTCAGACTGAATAAGTAAACACTGTGACAACAGGATCATTTCCGTGTGAAATCTGTTAACCACATTAGAGGCACTGTGGTCCAAAGAAGTGTGATGAGAGACAGAGTCCCTAAGCAGACCCTCTTTGCTTGCAGAAGCTCTGTTCCACTAGGAGAAAACATTATCTACTTGATAGGAAGAAGCATATGCTCCTACAGAAAAATCAATTTCCTGTGGGTTAAGATGGGCAGGGGAAGACCTATATTATTTCTAGCTAAATAATTTTAACTTAGCTTTGATTATCGTACACTGAAGTTTGTACTCCCAACTAAGCTGTATCAAATATTGGTGCAGTAAGATAGAAATCAAGCGGCAACAGGAGGCCTAAGGTAAAGACCATCTGAGGGCTGTAAAACCATGGAATACCATGGAGTGGTTGCAGAGCAGGAAATACTGCTTTGGTCCACAAATGCCACCTCAACGTAGAGTTTACATAAGGGTCTCGTAAAGAGGGCTTATGCAAGATCTGAGAAAGAAGGGAGGCAACTTCTGCTCACAAGATCTGGGAGGGTCTTTGCAGATGGCAGCTTACAAGGAAGAAAAGCCTAACAAGGCAGAGATTACGAGAATGCCACAGGCTCTGCCTAGGTTCTGAGAATATACAGTAATTTTGATTGCTCTGTGTCTGCAATTCCCAGGAGATAAAAGCCCCTCAATGTGTTGGCTGTTGTCAGACCTGGTGGTGCCTTATGCGCTATGCTTCTGATGCAAATGCACCTTGATGAGAGCAACTGGTGGTAGAATTCAGGTTCTAGGTTTGTATAAGAATCCTGTCTGCTACTGAATACTGCAGACCAAACTTCTCTCTCTGGCTATCTTGCCCACATTAGTCTCAAGGCCTCACCCAATAGTTTCAAGGCCTCCCCTGATCACCGCCTCTCCCCCACCCCTCAATTAACAAGTGTATGCACCTAATAATACCCTGTGGAAACCAGAACTCAGTGCCAACGCAGTCCCCATGCTTGTGTTGGTCCCCTGGACCCATGCTATAAAATTCTACTCATGTCTATTTCCTTTTCTCAATCCCTCGTCACTCCGAGGACTAAGGGCACCCACGAACAGGATTGGGGCTGGTACCTAACAATTTCCTACTTACCTGAGAATAATTTGTCAATCACCCAGCCACCATTTTTTCCTCTTCAAATTTTGCCTCATGACGATAGAAAAAGTCCTTAAAGAGATGATCTTGAGAAGAAGAAATAAAACCTGAGAATCCAGGCTGCCAATAGCTTCCGTACTCACAAGCCGAAAAGCCACCTCATACTAATGCTAAGTGGACACACACACGTAAAATGCCTGAGCAGCCTATCTCACCTGAAGCAAGAAAATATGCTTCAGGCTTTGATGAAGAGGAGAGAGAGAGAGAGACTTTAACGATCCCATTTTATAAAGAAAAAAAGTCCAAAGAAGTTAACATTTTCCTTATTTGCAAAAAATGATAAAACTCATCATGTGATTAAATAGAACCTCTTCCACAAAAACATGCATACTCACCCCTCCTTCCCAAATCCCAGGATTTAGACCATAGACTATTCATATCTAATTTAGTCCCTCCTAGGTATTTCAAAAGCACGGCCACTTAGACCCTAAACCCTAATCACAAGACAAGCTCTTCACAGGAGCATCAACACAGACTTACCACAAAGGGAAAGATCAATGGCTGGCATCCTGTGAATTTAACAGTGGAATGTGCCTGAGTATCTTGTTCCCAAAGTCTCTTCAAGACATTGTCTGAATTTATGGGTCGGTTAATCTCAATTCCTCTTAAGTAGCAATGGGAGTCCTGCCTCATACTGTCAATCTTTAAGCAACAGGCATTACTCATCTGTCATCAAGCACCATCCATTAGCCAGCTCCCTGCAGAAGATGAAGCTGTTTATGTGAATGCCACTGGAGTATTATGCCACATGGACATAAACAATAACAAATGCCATTTACCTGGTACCCATGTGCCAGAAACAGTTGTAGTCTAAGTTTCATATAATTATCAAAGCAGTTTTTGTCACTATCATATTAGATGAGGAAATCTAAGCTCAGAAACCAATTGACCCAACATCACATTAGGAACTGGTGAGCCAGGGCATGAATGCAGGTTACTCTGATTCAAAAGCCTAAACTCCTGAGGTTCTTGTTATTCTCAAACATGACTATGAGATGGTCATGAAACGATGTGCAGAAAAGGTTAACTCAACCCCTGCAGAGAAAGATCTGTCCTCAGGACTGACACTTGGCTCAGTTTGTGAGAGATGACCTTTTAGCCTATGGAATACCTTGCCTGTTAAGTGTCTATTTTTATATGCTTAAATTTTTGAGCCAAACTATACTAGTGTGACCAGAGAGTGTATGCTAACAGTATGATTTATGCTGAAGGCCTGTTTTTGTATGTCTGAGGCTTTTGGCAACAAAGTATGAGTTTGAACTGCGAGGGGGCTGGGCCTAAGCGTATGATGTAAGTCATGCAGGTGCTATATGCCTACGGGACTGACCCTCAGTAAAAGTCCTAGACACCGAAAGCTCAGTAAGCTTCCCTAGTTGGCAACAGTTTGCATGGATATTACACACTGTTACTAGGATAATTAAACACTGTCCATTGACATGGGAGAAAACTACATGGGAGAGAAGCTTGGTTTCTTCTAGAGTTCATCCTGTTCATCTTTTCCTCTTGCAGATTCTAATCTGTACCCTTTTACTGTAATAAACCATAACTGTAGGTTGAATAGCTTCTGAGTCCTGTGAGTGTTTATATCATTGAGCATGAGGGTGGTGGTCTTGAGGACCCCCAAAACAAATGGTTCATTGAATTCAGACATCTTTAGCTCCTCCAGCTGGCATGGCAGTCATGTAGGCCAGGTGGTGTCCCTTCAAGTCCTTATCTCTGGCTTATGCTTGCATTCATTCTGCAAATATTTACAAGGGACCTTACCTTTGTTAAGTAATATACTAGACACTTAGGACACAGCAGTCAACTATACAGAAAATTTCCTAGACCTTAGGTATCTCACATTCTAAAGGGCTAGGCAGATAATAAACACATAAGTACGGTTTTTTTAATTTTATTTATTTATTTTTTTAGATGGAGTTTTGCTCCTGTGGCCTAGGCTGGAGTGCAATGGTGCCATCTCAGCTCACTGAAACCTCCACCTCCTGGGTTCAAGCTATTCTCCTAAGTAGCTGGGATTATAGGCATGCACCCACCACACCTGGCTAATTTTGTGTTTTTAGTAGAGATGGGGTTTCTCCATGTTGGTCAAGCTGGTCTTGAACTCCCAACCTCAGGTGATCTGCCTGCCTTGGCCTCCCAGAGTGCTAAGATTACAGGCGTGAGCCACCACGTCCACCCATAAATATGTATTGTCAGTTGGTGACAAGTGCTATGGAAAAAAGTAGATGAATGGATAAGTCGTATAACCTTCCACCTCTTCTACTACACACACATATAAACGTATATTTATAGACTCAAACTGTTCTGGGAAAGAAAATAGAGGAAAATAACCATAAGACACTTGAAAAGTGACATCTGGCTTGCCTAAAAGTGACACTCAACTTTTTATCCAAAGCAATAGAGTAATACTAATGGTTCAGAAAAGAAGCTCAGAATACATTTCAAGTGCTAAGGCTAATGCCTAGATATAGCCAATTATGTAATTTCTTTACTTTGCTTCCACATTCAGTCTATAAAAGCCAGCTGTACATGCTGCTACAGCAGAGCCCCGGAACCTCTTTTGATATTGAGTGCTGCCTGACTGATGAATCCTTTAATGCTTAACTAAACTATTACATTTATCTGAATTTTTCTTTTAATATCCCTAAGTCCTAGCAGAGAGTAGAAAATGTATGGGGTATGGCTCATGCCTGTAATCCCAGCACTTTGGGTGGCCAAAGCAGGCAGATCACTTGGGCTCACAAGTTTAAGACCAGCCTGGGTAACATGGTAAAACCCCATCTCTACTAAAAATACAAAATTAGCCAGGTGTGGTGGTGCATGTCTGTAGTCCCAGCTAGTTGGGAGGCTGAGGTAGGAAGATGGCTTGAGCCTAGGAGGCAAAGGTTGCAGTGAGCTGAGATCATACCACTGCATGCCAGTCTGGCTGACAGAACCAGACCTAGTCTCAACAAAAAAGAAAAAGAAAAAAGAAAATGTATGGCATGAATGAAATGCTCAACCATGTATTATGCAAAAGTTTGTTCATTTTATACTTTTCTGAGGGTATGAGGGAGCCAGAGCTTCTCTGTCACCAAGGCTGGAGTGCAATCGTAGGATCAAGCTCACAGCAGCCTTGAACTCCTGGGCACAAGCAATCTTCCTACTTCAGCTTCGTGAGTAGCTAGGACGGGCATCCCCAAACTTTTTACACAGGGGGCCAGTTCACTGTTCCTCAGACCGTTGGAGGGCCACCACATACTGTGCTCCTCTCACTGACCACCAATGAAAGACGTGCCCCTTCCTCAAGTGCGGCGGGGGGTGGGCCGGATAAATGTCCTCAGGGGGCCGCAGTTTGGGGACGCCTCAGCTAGGACTTCAAGGCACAAGCCACCACCACACCTGGTCAACTAAAAAAAATTCTTTTGGTAGAGATTGGTGGTGGGGCTAGTGGGGAGAAGGGGTTCCTCACAATGTTGGCAAGGCTGACCTTGAACTCCTGGGCTCAGGTGATCCTCCTGCCCTGACCTCCCAAAGTGCTGGGATTACAGGTGTGAGCCACCACTGCCCAGCTAATTTTATACTTCTAAAAAAACATATCTCTTGGGTTTACTGATCAGTTCTACTTTTTTCCCATTAAATGTTGCTTTTAGTGTTATTACTTATGTTTTCTTTATATTCATTTTGCTAATCTCTTTCAAACACTTGTAAATGACATCTAAATTTTTTTTTTTTTTTTTTTGAGACAGAGTCTTTATCTGTCACCCAGACGGGTGTGCAATGGCACGACCTTGACTCACTGCAACCTCCGCCTCCTGGGTTCAAGGGATTCTCCTGTCTCAGCTTCTGGAGTAATTGGGATTATAGGCACATGCTGCCACACCTGGCTAATTTTTTGTACTTTCAGTAGAGATGGGGTTTCACCATGTTCCCCAGGCTGGTCTCAAACTCCTGAGTTCAGGCAATCCACCTGCCTTGGCCTGCCAAAGTGCAGGGATTATAGGCACCGTGACTAGCTGATATCTGAATTTTTCTTTTTCTTTTCTTTTTTTAAAGACGGGGTTTCACCATGTTGGTCAGGCTGGTCTTGAACTCCCGGCCTCAGGTGATCCACCCTCCTTGGGCTCCAAAGTGCTTGGATTACAGGCGCCCAGCCAATATCTGAATTTTTTAAACATGTAATTGAAATATAAAAGTGTAGAATTACAAAGGTATAATGCATTATCATTAATTTCTACACCTTGATGCACACATGACACATCTAAATCATTACCCCTCTCTTCTCAAATGGAGCACTATTCTCACTTCTACCACTACAAATTAATTTTGCCTGTTTTTAAACTTTAAATTAAATCATCTTAGTTCATGTCTAGCTTTTTGGATTCAACATTATGAGAGTCATCCATATTTTTGCACATAGCTGTAGTTCTTTTCCCTTTTCCTAAAAGTACTCCATAATACAGGTTGAGTATCTCTAATCTGAAAATCTGAAATCCAAAATGCTCCAAAAAACCCTTTTTGAGGGCTGGGCGCGGTGGCTCAAGCCTGTAATCCCAGCACTTTGGGAGGCCGAGGCGGGTGGATCACAAGGTCAAGAGATCGAGACCATCCTGGTCAACATGGTGAAACCCCGTCTCTACTAAAAATACAAAAAATTAGCTGGGCATGGTGGCGCGTGCCTGTAATCCCAGCTACTCAGGAGGCTGAGGCAGGAGAACTGCCTGAACCCAGGAGGCAGAGGTTGCGGTGAGCCGAGATCGCGCCATTGCACTCCAGCCTGGGTAACGAGAGCGAAACTCCGCCTCAAAAAAAAAAAAAAATACACAACAGATACAGCATGGAATCAGCAAAACTTGGTTAAAAAGAAAAAAAAAAGATTAAAAAAAAAATACACAACAGAGCCAAGAATGCAGATATACGTAAATAATAAGCTTTGCTAAGAAAGAAGATAGCTATGATTTTTCTCAATCTTGGATGAGCGATGAAAGAAGGAATCTGCCACACATGAAGGTATAAAGAAATCATCATTAAATCTTACGAAATTTGACAGCAGAGTGTGGGCTGACTGACTGACCACATTAGAATTCTGAGACATCTCAGTTACGGAATTCACAGTGCATATGAATCAATCTTTCACAGTGCATATGAATCAATCTACAGACTCTCACAAGTCTTCATCTAATATTAGACAATAGTGTATCAAACTGTTATTAACTACCAACTGTTATTTTTGTTTAGTATTGAGTTTCTTGGTATTTCTTTTTGTCCTTACTAAGGATACAAAGCTCAGAGTTCTGTGCTCAAACATTTGTTTGAACTAAATTTTTTTTTTCTCTGTGTGGTTAGGCTTTCAATTTGATATACTATGATGCTTGTTTCTCTTTATACTTAATTATAAGACTTGCTTTTTTTGAAATTTTTTTTTTTTTGAGATGCAGTTTTTGCTCTTGTAGCCCAGGCTGGAGTGCAGTGCGCAATCTCGGCTTATTGCAACCTCCACCTCCAGGTTTCAAGCAATTCTCCTGCCTTCGCCTCCCAAGTAACTGGGATTACAGGT